TTGGCATAAACCTGCCATAATAGTTCAGTAGTCCCAGGAAGGAACGAAGCTCTGTGACATTTGTGGGACTTGGTGCGTTTACAATAGATTTCACCTTCTCTTCTGTGGGGTGAAGCCCCTCACTGTCAACCATGTGTCCCAAATATTCCACTCTGTCTGCCATGAACTTACATTTTGCTTGCTTGACCTTTACATTATACTTTGCCAGGCGACTCAACACTTCCTCCAGTTTGCACAGATGTTCCTCTCTCGAACCAGCTGTGATTAAGATGTCGTCCAGGAAACAGGTCACATGCTCTATTCCCTGTAGGATTTGGTCCATCACTGCTTGGAAGATGGACGGGGCACTTGAGACTCCATATGACAGTCGGTGGTAAGTGTACAGTCCTCGATGTGTGTTGACTGTAAGGTACTTCTCTGAGTCCTTATCCAACTCCAACTGCTGATAGGCATGTGATAAGTCCAGTTTAGTGAACAGCTTGCCTCCAGCCAATGTTGCAAAAAGATCTTCTGTATTGGGCAAAGGATAAGTTTCCTCTTCCACACACTGATTTATGTTCACTTTGTAATTCCCACAAATCCGGATTGATTTGTCAGCCTTTGGCACAGTCACTATGGGTGCAGCCCATTCACTTTTGTCTGTTTTTGATATGATTCCCATAGCCTCTAATCGGTCGAGTTCTTTTTCCACAGCCTCTTTTAGAGCATATGGCACTTGGTTGGCTTTTCTAAATATTGGCTGCGCACCTGGCCTCATCTTGATCGAAGCCTTGAACTCACGGATGGTGCTAGGCCCTTCCTCAAACACTCCCTTGTGCCTCTGTAGGATTGCTGCCACTTCTGGGTCAATAGCTTCTCCTACTACTTTGACTTGGAATATTTCCTTCCAGTTCAGCTTAAATTTCTTGAGCCAATTTCTGCCCAGTAGTGCTGGTCGGTCGCCTCTCACAATAACCAGTGGTACTTTGGCTGCTTGTTGTTCATATTCCACATTCACATCCACCTTCCCCAACACTGGGATGCGTTCTCCAGAGAAAGTAGACAGTGGTATTTTACATGGGCTAAGTGGCAAGTAAGCGAGCGATGTCTTGTAAGTGATCTCTGATACAAGAGACACACATGCTCCTGTGTCCAACTGCATCTGAATGTTCTGGCCTTCAATGTCCATGTCAACCACATAGCCATCTTTACCATCTGAAGTTGTGTATACTACGTACAGTCCAAACAAGTGTTCATTATCCTCATCCTGTTCAACATAATGAGTCTTTTGTGGTGTCTTTTTATTCCTGCACATGCGTGCAATGTGTCCCACTTTTGTGCAGTGGTGGCATTTTTCCTGTTTAAATCTGCACACAGCAGGTGGGTGTTTACCTCCACATCTGTAGCAGGGCTGGTGCAGCTGTTGCTGCTTGTCATCCACGCTGCTCTTGTGCCAGGATGTACTCTTGCTGTAGCTTGTGTCACTTGATTTTCTTTTGTCATCTCTTTTTTTACTCTGGTTGAACACTTTATTGACTGTTGCATTTTCTTTAATTTTTCCTGAGAATTCCAAAGTGTTGCGTGAAGCCATCTCCATGGACAGTGCTGTGTCACATGCACTTTTAAACGTCACATTTTTCTCTGCCAGCAATTTTCTCTGTATTGCCTCTGATCTCAGTCCACTCACAAACCTATCACGGAGAGCATCGTCCAGGTGAGCTCCAAAATCACAGTTTGTTGACAGGAGTTTCAGAGCTACCATATAGTCACTTACAGATTCACTCTCTTGTTGATTTCTCTTCTGAAATCGAAACCTCTCCATAATGACAAGTGGTTTGGGCTTGTAATGGTCACTGAGTGCTTTGGTGAGCGCTGCATAACTTTTCGTGCTTGGCTTATCCGGCAGGAGTAAACTTTTCAAAAGTCCGTAGGCTTCCGCTCCAATTAGCGACAGAAAAACGCTGACTTTCTTTTCATCTTCCACATCATTTGCTGCCATCCACTGTTCCATCCTCTCCAGGTAAGATTCAAAATCTTCCTTACCCTCTCGGTATTCCGACATGTTGCCGATGAGAGCCATTGCTGCAGTCCGCCGTTAATAACAGTAGCAGTCACGTTAGCTTGTTAGCTCGTTTGTTAGCCACTCACGTTGGTGCCACAATCTTCCTTTCTTGTGATCTGCCTGTTATAACTTCATGTCTCTCGTCTTCCGGGATGCTTTTCTTTCTTTTAGCATCCCATCCTCGTCGCCAAACTGTAATATATTGTTGTGGGGAAATAACTCAGACGGAGACTTGACCGAGCGTGGAGAGCGGGACTTTATCTCATGTAGACAAAGCACGTAACATACACACGTTACTGAACGTCATAACTCTATATAACCACAAGTGGGCAGTGTCCTATAATGGTATCTTGTCAATACACTACAATGTGCAAATATAGATCGACTCTGGGTGGACTCGAACGCACGACCTTTGAAAAACCTCCTCAGTGGCTATGCTAGAAGTCCAATGCGCTATACATCGCGCAACAGAGCCGGCGTTCGACTCTGCACGGACTTGAACCCACAACCTTTGAATAACCTCCTCAGTGGCTATGCTAAGTGTGCAATGCGCTATACATTGCGCAGCAGAGTCGCAAGGTCTTAGGATTTAGAGGTTGTAGGTTCAAAGAAAACCAGCATTTAGCTTTAAACTATTGCAGCTTGATACATAATATGTAATACAATTTGAATCTTATGAAACTGGCAACCTTTGACTCATACCCCATTTCAATTAATGTTTTGAGAGTGATCTGTGAACACTGCAGGCCTGATGACTGTGTTTGTTCATTCTTTTCAAATGATGGCAAACATAGTTCGACTCTGGTGGGACTCGAACCCACAACCTTTGAATAACCTCCTTAGTGGCTATGCTAGAAGTCCAATGCGCTATCCATTGCGCCACAGAGCCGGCGTTCGACTCTGCACGGACTCGAACCCACAACCTTTAAATAACCTCCTCAGTGGCTATGCTAAGTGTGCAATGCGCTATACATTGCGCAGCAGAGTCGCAAGGTCTGCATGAAAAACACTGTCAAGATTTAAGGTCAATTTCAGGAAGGAATATTAAGGATTTAGCGGTTGCAGGTTTAAAGCAAACCAGGATTTGGCTTTACACTATTGCAGCTGTTTGATACATACTGTGTAATACAATTTGACTCTTATTGGAATCAAACTGGCAACCTTTGACTCATACCCCATTTCAATTAATGTTTTGAGAGTGATCTGTGAACACTGCAGGCCTGATGACTGTGTTTGTTCATTCTTTTTAAATGAAGGCAAACATAGTTCGACTCTGGTGGGACTCAAACCCACAACCTTTGAATAACCTCCTTAGTGGCTATGCTAGAAGTCCAATGCGCTATCCATTGCGGCACAGAGCCGGCGTTCGAACTCTGCACGGACTCGAACCCACAACCTTTAAATAACCTCCTCAGTGGCTATGCTAAGTGTGCAATGCACTAACATTGCGCAGCAGAGTCGTAAGGTCTGCATGAAAAACACTGTCAAGATTTAAGGTCCATATTCAGGAAGGAATTTTAAGGATTTAGCGGTTGCATATTGAGCAACAAATATTAAGGATTTAGCGGTTGCAGGTTTAAAGCAAACCAGCATTTGGCTTTACACTATTGCAGCTGTTTGATACATACTGTGTAATACAATTTGACTCTTATTGGAATCAAACTGGCAACCTTTGACTCATACCCCATTTCAATTAATGTTTTGAGAGTGATCTGTGAACACTGCAGGCCTGATGACTGTGTTTGTTCATTCTTTTTAAATGAAGGCAAACAAAGTTCGACTCTGGTGGGACTCGAACCCACAACCTTTAAATAACCTCCTCAGTGGCTATGCTAAGTGTGCAATGCGCTATACACTGCGCAGCAGAGTCGCAAGGTCTGCATGAAAAACACTGTCAAGATTTAAGGTCAATTTCAGGAAGGAATATTAAGGATTTAGCGGTTGCAGGTTTAAAGCAAACCAGGATTTGGCTTTACACTATCCGGCTGTTAAGCCGTGACGTAGCCGCGTTCTCCTCTTCCACTTCCGGGTCCAGCGGATATGTTGTAATAATGCCTCAGTGCTGTGTCCCTTGCTGCTCTAACAGATCAGAGACAAAAACAGCCACTAAACTATCGTTCTACAGATTTCCTCCCAACAACAAAGACAAGAAGAGATGGCTGCAGTTAATAAGGTAAGTTACCATTCAAGAAATACATAGAAAATCTAAGTTTAGTGCTAACGCTAACGCTAACCCTTGTTCAGAGTTTGCAGACCAGCTACCCTCGGTGTTATCGAAACTACCGTGACATACTAGACATATATTTCTATTTTTAGTTCAGTCAACCGACTACAAAAGTACCATCCGCCTCGAGGATCAATATATGTGCTTTCCTTATGTTTTCTCTGCTCAGCAAAGCTGTAATCAGCGTGTAGTGGAGGGTAAACAGCATCGTTACCCACATCTGTATTTACTACTACAACCCTGTCTGTAAAGAGATTATATCAGTTACTGTAGGTATTATGTCAGGCTGATTATGTCATTATTTCAGCTACACCCCAGGACAATCTGCATTATCTTAAGCATTGCCAAATGTTGAAATTTCTAGGTCTTACCCTGACTCTCTCAGTATACAAATGGAACCAAATGAACCCACATTTGGTTCCATTTGTATACTGTTAGAGTTACAGACTTGTATGGGTCGATTTAGACCCTCATAAAAGTCCCTAGGATCCACTTAGACAACCACTGACTTATACAGTCTGTAGGGTATACTATGCTGATATAACTTATACAATCTTTATGGTAGAGTATGTTAACACAATGCAAATTATTCAATTTTGATAGTTAATGTTGTCTCCCTTTTATTAGGACATTTAGATTGTGTCAAAGGTAATGTCTCCACCAGAAACAGGATCTGAGTCTGACACCAATCTTGACCAGATGGTCAAGATTATATTTATCCCCTGAGTGAGCAGGATGGCTCTTTTAGGTCAATGGTAAAAATAATGCCAGTGCTTGTGCAGTAAACAAGGGTTCAAATCCATTGCAGCTGAGGAAAGTAACAGTGCAGCTTTAAGTTTTCATTGCCAGTAATTTGCTACACTGTAATTGTTGTGCACATAACTAACACATTTGAAATATCTCGTCCCCTTTCTATTTACAGGCGTGATGACTTTACCCCAAACTGCAACTCAAGGGTGTGCAGTTGGCATTTCCCGGATGGCAAAGCTGCTGGCCCATCACGGTTTGCTTGGAACGAGGGGAAGACTTTCCCAGGTCACCTCAGCCATCCACCCGAAAAGAAGAAAAAAGTGGTCCCACTCCCTACCAGTGGTGAAGATGAAGGGACAAATGAACTTGAACTACACAATGCTGACATGGCAACTGCAGAGACCCCCAGTACTTCAGAGAACCCTTCTACTACAAACAGTGTTGAGGTGCTTGAGATAGAGGTTGATATGTTGAGAAGAGAGAACGAGAAATTGAAAAATGAATTGGAGAAACAAAAACAAACCTTTTTCTTCAGTCAAATATCTTCCAATTCTGACAAAGTACGATATTTCACTGGCCTACCTGATGCTGCTACCGTCCTGTTTTTGGAAACACTTTTATCTAAGTTTGAGCTAAAATATCATTCTGATTGGACAGTCCAGTTTATGCCACTAGTCGATCAGTTGCTCCTGACCTTGATGAAGCTTAGACTTAATTGTGGTCATTTAGACCTTGCAACCAGATTTAATTGTAGCACAGCCACAGTAACCAACATTTTTCTCACTATTGTCAGTGCCCTGTATGACATTTTGTATGTTGGTATGCTTGAGAACAACATCCCCTCCACAGCCAAGAACCAGACATCACTGCCAGAGTGTTTCCGTCCATTTCCTAATTGTAGGATTGTGCTCGATTGCACAGAGGTTGCTGTCTCCAAGCCAGAGCGGCTTGACACACAGAGTCATCTATACAGCCAGTACAAAGGACGGACCACACACAAGACTTTAATAGGTGTGGCTCCTAATGGAGTGATTACATTTGTCAGTGACTATTATGGTGGGAGTGCCTCAGACAAGGCAATAACAGCAGATTCTGGAGTTCTCAACCATCTAAAACCAGGTGACATGGTGATGGCAGACAAAGGCTTCACAATCCGGGACATCTTGCCGGAAGGGGTTTCGCTGAACATCCCTTCTTTCCTTGTAAATGGACAGTTCACACAAGAAGAAGTGAAGAAAAACAAACTTATCTCCAGTGCTAGGATCCATGTAGAGCGCTCCATTCAGAGGTTGAAATTATTTAGCATTTTGGACAATATCCCACATCAGTTCACCAAAAACATTAACAAGATACTGAAAGTGTGTGTGTGTCTTACCAACCTGCAAACACCAGTTCTCTGTGAAATTGCATGACATGGCTGAATATGACTTGAGAAAAATGTACGCAGAATCAGATTCATGTCTTAACCTTAGAACATTTAAAAAAGTGACACTGCATTAAGAACACTGCTTCTTTTTATATCAAAACACATTGGTAACAAAATGTTTAAAGTGCAAAAGCTACTGTAACCATTAAGTGTAAAAACTACAAGGCACCATAACAGAGCTTAGTTTTCTTAAAAAACATTTAGCAGCTTCACATTGTACTAGTATTACATCTCGTGAATAGTGCAATGTTTACAGTGTGGACAACTCTGACAGAATTTTTGGTAGGAAACAATCTTTGTAAAATGTTTCCAGGATGTCAATGTTTCTAGCCCAAGTTGGGTCTTTCACCACTGGCACAAGGACAAGGTCAGCAAGGGTCCATACAACCAGGTGGCAAGTGCTGGTTCCAGTCAGGTGTAGGTTGCCCTGAATCTGATGCCAGTAGTGATGAGTTTGTTTTAGTGTCAGGGAATCAGTCGCTGCATCCAACTGCAGAAAGAAGTCCCTTTTCTCTGCTGCTGCCTGCCGGACTGTCATATTTTTTGTTGACCAGGGACATTTGACCTAGAGGTGGGTGTTATGAAAAACATATGACCATTTTTTTGTGTAAAGACAGGTAGTAATAAAGCTAAGCTTGTCCATATGACTTCAAATAAATATGTATTATTGAAAATAGCATTATCTACAACAGGGTTTCCCAAAGTGGGCGCCGTGAAGCCAGCCCAAGGGTGCCTCAGAATAATGTGACACTACACTGCTCAAAGAAATAAGGAGAACACTTTGTTCCCTTACTTTCTTTGAGCATTTCTGTGGTGAACAAAAACAAACAAATTTTGGTGAACAATATAGTTTACTTATCTTTATAGTTATCGTGCCCGGTGGGATTTGAGATTAGGGTGGCCCATAATCTCTGTTTCAGTTTTAATTTCGATTAGTTGCCTAGTATACTGTATATTGACTAAATATAACATAACCTCAATAATGCACTCATCAGACACTGTCCCATCTGGAGATCCACCGAGCAGGCCACTGTTTGACAGGAACACCCCCCTCTCCTGGACAACATCCCCGGTTTTCTCTGTGTATTCCTGCTTTGCCTGTGGTTCGTGGGTGATTCCCCAATCACATGCCTTGAGAAAGTGAGGGAGGGAAAACATACCACTCAGTTCATAAATTACTTGTTAGAGTCAATGACATCTTAAGTTGAAATCATTATTTCATCATTACTTACTTTAGAAGCTTCTTTGAAGTTGTACTGGCCAAGCAGGGTTTTGAACAAGGAAGGTGGGTACCGCTTGCGCTTGACTGCTGCCAAGACCAAACCAAAATTGCTAGCTGTGATTTGTCTCTTGCGATAAGCCATCCTGTTATAAAGACACCCAGATACAGTTCACATAGCAAGGCATCCTATGTCTTTGATGTTTTATAGACACATTAGGTGCTCAAACTGCAGTATTGTTATAATCACTCATAAATGTTCAATGCTTTAACATTGACTACAATACTTTGTCAATATAGACCAGTGGTTTTCAACATTTTTCATATCAAGGCCCATAATTCATGCAGCATCTGAGCCACAGAACCACCATTTGATGACATTTAGCTTCTTTGACTCAAATTGTGATTTTTTTTAATCATTGGATAAGATTTTGTCACAATTCCATCATGTATTTATGTGTAAGGAGATCTGGTTGATCAAAATAACAACTATTCTACGATCTCTAATTGTGTAGACTTCTTGTAAATTAACTAATGCAGATGTTAAACAATAATTTAACTCTTGAGAGTGTAAAATGAAACCGTACGACCCCATATGGTTTCATTTTACAATCTCAAGACATTTTGCACACCCTATGAGTTACGGATCGCTAATGGTCCATTTGATTACCAACTCTCTATCATTTAGCTGGGGACCACTGATTGAAAACCACTGATATAGAACTAAAAGGCTAAGTATTACAGAACTTCATAATATCTGGAAACCAACAAACATATTTTACTGGTCCTCTAGTTTCTTTACAGAGGTTCAAGAAATTGTGAGGAGTCTAGTATTGTATTGTTAGTGTTACCATAAGTCGTTCTTTGCTTGAAAAACGGTGTCTCTCTCAATCTGCTGCTTCTCCGCATCACTGACAGCAAGCGATGACAACACATATAGAGCCTTGTCCTCAGCTTCAGTAAAACCTGGACAGGCCACCAATCCATCCCATGTCTTGATAGGGGGTGTCTTTATTTAAAGTTAAGCACACAGTTCACGCACACATGTATTATTCAACATTTATATACACATTATACACACACACACTGTGTTCTTTTCATCATGTCAAATTGGTCATGGGCCTAAACTATTTGTTGATTTAATTAAAAATTAGACCAATTTGAGTATGTTGGGATGATTTTAACCTAGCTGAATTGTCACCGGGGCACCAAAAGAAAGAAGGCCTACCTGAGCTGTCTCTGGACTCAGGATCCACCACATGCCAGTAAAACGACCGAGCTGTGACAAGGATGACACAGTCCAATCCTTGACCTCCTGGGTTACAGGTGTTTTGATACCAGCTGAAATGACAGTATAAATGCATTGTCAAATTATTCATTCTTCTTGATTGTGATTAAGACTTCTTAATCACAAGTAAGAAAGGACACTACTGTATGTACACTACAAATTATGCAATTTAACTTGAATTACTTACCTTGTGATGTGGATGGTGTCATCACAGACACTCTCTTGGCAAGAATATCATCTGATTTTGGTGTCTTCGCCCTCTTCCACACACATTCCACATCTGTGCGGGACACATTTTTCTCCACCCAAATCAACAATGCTGCCATGTGGTGGCATTTGTCCTTGCCGATCGGACATTCGCAGCTGCTGTAGCTCACCTTCTGACTTTCTACATGCACCTGTAGTGAACACGACTTGACCCTAACACCAACCTAGACATTGCTGTTTATAGCTTTCCATAAATCAGTAACTAGCAAACAGCCCAATAAAATAAAGATGGAGAAATAAAATAAAATAGAGCAATGGCAGTCTTTATCCAAGGCTAATGAAACGCCAAAGAACGTGGCATATAACATTAAAAGCCAGAATGCCTAACATTACCTAGCTAATGCTAACCCTATCAGCTCACTCACCTCAGCCTGGTATATTTTCTTTTTCATGGACGCTTGGATTTTACCTTTAATAATGCCCCCTGGGAGAAAATTTACGTGAATAACTCTACCCGAGTTGAAAGCGTTAAGTCCCTTTTTTACTCTGAGTGGTTCCTTTCTGTAAAAGGAGGTTATTGTGAAGAGATTCACAGGTTCCGCCATCGTTGTTTTGAATGGAAAGTGAATGGAGTCTGATTCCCCATGGACCCGGAAGTCGCTCCGCTCACAAAATGACGTCACGCTTAACAGCCGGATTGCAGCTGTTTGATACATACTGTGTAATACAATTTGACTCTTATTGGAATCAAACTGGCAACCTTTGACTCATACCCCATTTCAATTAATGTTTTGAGAGTGATCTGTGAACACTGCAGGCCTGATGACTGTGTTTGTTCATTCTTTTTAAATGATGGCAAACATAGTTCGACTCTGGTGGGACTCGAACCCACAACCTTTGAATAACCTCCTTAGTGGCTATGCTAGAAGTCCAATGCGCTATCCATTGCGCCCACAGAGCCTTCGTTCGAACTCTGCACGGACTGGAACCCACAACCTTTAAATAACCTCCTCAGTGGCTATGCTAAGTGTGCAATGCGCTATACATTGCGCAGCAGAGTCGCAAGGTCTGCATGAAAAACACTGTCAAGATTTAAGGTCCATATTCAGGAAGGAATTTTAAGGATTTAGCGGTTGCATATTGAGCAACGAATATTAAGGATTTAGCGGTTGCAGGTTTAAAGCAAACCAGCATTTGGCTTTACACTATTGCAGCTGTTTGATACATACTGTGTAATACAATTTGACTCTTATTGGAATCAAACTGGCAACCTTTGACTCATACCCCATTTCAATTAATGTTTTGAGAGTGATCTGTGAACACTGCAGGCCTGATGACTGTGTTTGTTCATTCTTTTTAAATGATGGCAAACATAGTTCGACTCTGGTGGGACTCGAACCCACAACCTTTGAATAACCTCCTTAGTGGCTATGCTAGAAGTCCAATGCGCTATCCATTGCGCCACAGAGCCGGCGTTCCTCTTTGGGTGGACTCGAACCCACAACCTTTAAAATAACCTCCTCAGTGGCTATGCTAAGTGTGCAATGCGCTATACATTGCGCAGCAGAGTCGCAAGGTCTGCATGAAAAACACTGTCAAGATTTAAGGTCAATTTCAGGAAGGAATATTAAGGATTTAGCGGTTGCAGCTTTAAAGCAAACCAGGATTTGGCTTTACACTATTGCAGCTGTTTGATACATACTGTGTAATACAATTTGACTCTTATTGGAATCAAACTGGCAACCTTTGACTCATACCCCATTTCAATTAATGTTTTGAGAGTGATCTGTGAACACTGCAGGCCTGATGACTGTGTTTGTACATTCTTTTTAAATGATGGCAAACACAGTTCGACTCTGGTGGGACTCGAACCCACAACCTTTGAATAACCTCCTTAGTGGCTATGCTAGAAGTCCAATGCGCTATCCATTGCGCCACAGAGCCGGCGTTCGACTCTGCACGGACTCGAACCCACAACCTTTAAATAACCTCCTCAGTGGCTATGCTAAGTGTGCAATGCGCTATACATTGCGCAGCAGAGTCGCAAGGTCTGCATGAAAAACACTGTCAAGATTTAAGGTCAAGTTCAGAAAAAAAATTTAAGGATTTAGCGGTTGCATATTGAGCAACGAATTTTAAGGATTTAGCGGTTGCAGGTTTAAAGCAAACCAGCATTTGGCTTAACACTATTGCAGCTGTTTGATACATACTGTGTAATACAATTTGACTCTTATTGGAATCAAACTGGCAACCTTTGACTCATACCCCATTTCAATTAATGTTTTGAGAGTGATCTGTGAACACTGCAGGCCTGATGACTGTGTTTGTACATTCTTTTTAAATGATGGCAAACACAGTTCGACTCTGGTGGGACTCGAACCCACAACCTTTGAATAACCTCCTCAGTGGCTATGCTAGAAGTCCAATGCGCTATCCATTGAGCCACAGAGCCGGCGTTCGAACTCTGCACGGACTCGAACCCACAACCTTTAAATAACCTCCTCAGTGGCTATGCTAAGTGTGCAATGCGCTATACATTGCGCAGCAGAGTCGCAAGGTCTGCATGAAAAACACTGTCAAGATTTAAGGTCAATTTCAGGAAGGAATTTTAAGGATTTAGCGGTTGCATATTAAGCAACGAAAAATTAAGGATTTAGCGGTTGCATGTTTAAAGCAAAGCAGCATTTGGCTTTACACTATTGCAGCTGTTTGATACATACTGTGTAATACAATTTGACTCTTATTGAAATCAAACTGGCAACCTTTGACTCATACCCCATTTCAATTAATGTTTTGAGAGTGATCTGTGAACACTGCAGGCCTGATGACTGTGTTTGTTCATTCTTTTTAAATGATGGCAAACATAGTTCGACTCTGGTGGGACTCGAACCCACAACCTTTGAATAACCTCCTCAGTGGCTATGCTAGAAGTCCAATGTGCTATCCATTGCGCCACAGAGCCGGCGTTCGAACTCTGCACGGACTCGAACCCACAACCTTTAAATAACCTCCTCAGTGGCTATGCTAAGTGTGCAACGCGCTATACATTGCGCAGAAAAGTCGCAAGGTCTGCATGAAAAACACTGTCAAGATTTAAGGTCAATTTCAGGAAGGAATACTAAGGATTTAGCGGTTGCAGCTTTAAAGCAAACCAGGATTTGGCTTTACACTATTGCAGCTGTTTGATACATACTGTGTAATACAATTTGACTCTTATTGAAATCAAACTGGCAACCTTTGACTCATACCCCATTTCAATTAATGTTTTGAGAGTGATCTGTGAACACTGCAGGCCTGATGACTGTGTTTGTACATTCTTTTTAAATGATGGCAAACACAGTTCGACTCTGGTGGGACTCGAACCCACAACCTTTGAATAACCTCCTTAGTGGCTATGCTAGAAGTCCAATGCGCTATCCATTGCGCCACAGAGCCGGCGTTCGACTCTGCACGGACTCGAACCCACAACCTTTAAATAACCTCCTCAGTGGCTATGCTAAGTGTGCAATGCGCTATACATTGCGCAGCAGAGTCGCAAGGTCTGCATGAAAAACACTGTCAAGATTTAAGGTCCATATTCAGGAAGGAATATTAAGGATTTAGCGGTTGCATATTGAGCAACGAAAAATTAAGGATTTAGCGGTTGCAGGTTTAAAGCAAACCAGCATTTGGCTTTACACTATTGCAGCTGTTTGATAAATACTGTGTAATACAATTTGACTCTTATTGGAATCAAACTGGCAACTTTTGACTGATAACCCATTTCAATTAATGTTTTGAGAGTGATCTGTGAACACTGCAGGCCTGATGACTGTGTTTGTTCATTCTTTTTAAATGATGGCAAACACAGTTCGACTCTGGTGGGACTCGAACCCACAACCTTTGAATAACCTCCTTAGTGGCTATGCTAGAAGTCCAATGCGCTATCCATTGCGCCACAGAGCCGGCGTTCGATTCTGCACGGACTCGAACCCACAACCTTTAAATAACCTCCTCAGTGGCTATGCTAAGTGTGCAATGCGCTATACATTGCGCAGCAGAGTCGCAAGGTCTGCATGAAAAACACTGTCAAGATTTAAGGTCAATTTCAGGAAGGAATACTAAGGATTTAGCGGTTGCAGCTTTAAAGCAAACCAGGATTTGGCTTTACACTATTGCAGCTGTTTGATACATACTGTGTAATACAATTTGACTCTTATTGAAATCAAACTGGCAACCTTTGACTCATACCCCATTTCAATTAATGTTTTGAGAGTGATCTGTGAACACTGCAGGCCTGATGACTGTGTTTGTTCATTCTTTTTAAATGATGGCAAACACAGTTCGACTCTGGTGGGACTCGAACCCACAACCTTTGAATAACCTCCTTAGTGGCTATGCTAGAAGTCCAATGCGCTATCCATTGCGCCACAGAGCCGGCGTTCGACTCTGCACGGACTCGAACCCACAACCTTTAAATAACCTCCTCAGTGGCTATGCTAAGTGTGCAATGCGCTATACATTGCGCAGCAGAGTCGCAAGGTCTGCATGAAAAACACTGTCAAGATTTAAGGTCCATATTCAGGAAGGAATATTAAGGATTTAGCGGTTGCATATTGAGCAACGAAAAATTAAGGATTTAGCGGTTGCAGGTTTAAAGCAAACCAGCATTTGGCTTTACACTATTGCAGCTGTTTGATAAATACTGTGTAATACAATTTGACTCTTATTGGAATCAAACTGGCAACTTTTGACTGATAACCCATTTCAATTAATGTTTTGAGAGTGATCTGTGAACACTGCAGGCCTGATGACTGTGTTTGTTCATTCTTTTTAAATGATGGCAAACAAAGTTCGACTCTGGTGGGACTCGAACCCACAACCTTTGAATAACCTCCTTAGTGGCTATGCTAGAAGTCCAATGCGCTATCCATTGCGCCACAGAGCCGGCGTTCGATTCTGCACGGACTCGAACCCACAACCTTTAAATAACCTCCTCAGTGGCTATGCTAAGTGTGCAATGCGCTATACATTGCGCAGCAGAGTCGCAAGGTCTGCATGAAAAACACTGTCAAGATTTAAGGTCAATTTCAGGAAGGAATTTTAAGGATTTAGCGGTTGCATATTAAGCAACGAATAT